TATTATTATTATTATTATTATTATTATTATTATTATTATTATTATTATTATTATTATTATTATTATTATTATTATTATTATTATTATTATTATTATTATTATTATTATTATTATTATTATTATTATTATTATTATTATTATTATTATTATTATTATTATTATTATTAATTACCACTATCACTATTAATTACCATTATTATTATTAATTAACGTCAATAATATTATTATTAGTGGTAATGATAATATTAACTACGATAATGGTAATAAAGATAATTATTGCTGTTACAATGTTAATAGTAATTAATACCAGGTAATTTCGTGCACCAAATATTGGGTAATTGATTGATATCAAAGTGATAATTTTCAAAACAACCATCATTTTTAAACCAATAATTTTTTCATTGTTCTCTTTTTATTTTTATTTCTTTTCTTTTACTACCAATAAATTTCAATATTCATATTTCATATTTGTAATAAATGATTAAGTACATGCAAATAAATATCTAATTAATTATGCTAATATCAATTTTAAATAAAAAAGAGAGGGGAGAATAAAGTTATAATTAGATTTAGTAGGAGATTTTTTTCTCTTTTCACCATACTTTAATTAATCATAATCACCTTAACTGAAAAAATTAACAATTAAAGTATTAACCAACATTCTTGAGTTTTGGAATTTTCCAAGCTTAAACTTTTAATAGTATCAATGATACCTGTAGTTTTAAAATTATGGCTATCCATTAGATATCAATGATACCTGTAGTTTTAAAATTATGGCTATCCATTAGATATCAATGATACCTGTAGTTTTAAAATTATGGCTATCCATTAAATAGCCATAATCTTTCCTAACCTATTTATCGCTATATGGCCAAAAAATTTTTCGGACCAATGCAAACAATTGATCATGACATGATTGGAATAGAATAGAAATACAATCGAGTTGAGATGATTGGTAACATCTTCACTGTCAACCCTTCCAGGTCTTTCGTAACAGGAGATATAAGGTGTGGGTGTGTGTGTATGTATGTGTGTGTGTATGTGTGTGTGTATGTGTGTGTGTCTGTATGCGTCTGTCTGTTGTGTATATATGTTAATACATATATAATACATTTATGTGTGTGTGTGTGTGTGTGTGTGTGTATGTATGTGTGGTAGCATTGTTTATTTTAGTTTAGTTTAGTAGAGTTCACCATGGTGTGATTGCTATCACCATAACGATCTTTTCCTGTTGTCCTCCTTTCGTCTTTCTTATCCCTCAGTGGTATGACATGACATTTAATATTTATGCATACCACGGGATATTCGATAGGAGCCATAGGCTCGGCATTTCCCGATAATAAGAGATGTCTACATAAAATGGTAATAGGCTACACATGTCAAATGAGGAATCGATATGTCGGGTCTGCGGGACATAAGATGAGAGAGTAATGAGCTGGAGGACATGTCAAATGAGGAATCGATTTGTCGGGCTTGCGGGATACAAGAGAGTAATGGGCTGGAGGACATGTCAAATGAGGAATCGATTTGTCGGGCCTGCGGGATATAAGATAAGAGAGTAATGGGCTGGAGGACATGTCAAATGTGTAATCGATTTGTCGGACTTACAGGATACCATCTTTATGGATTCCATTGTACTATAAAATGAAATAAATTGAAAAAGTGGAGGTTGAGATGTGCATAAATTTGAAATAATAATTACTGAAGAGGAAAGAAAGGAATGGCTAAATTATTTCCGGTTATTATTTTCCGGTTTTATTCTTGCATCAAGTTAATTTCTCATGCTGATCATTCCTGGAAATTCTTTTTCCCTAATGGAAGTACCAATAAAAAGATGTGCAGCAGAGGAGAGGGGTGGAAGAGTTGATTTTAAATTCATTTACTTAATAATATTTATGGGTAGGTGACGAAAATTTAGGTGAAGCTCTCTCTTCTCACACACTTGTTCCAAAATGTTGTTAATATAGGCATATCTTTACAGTTTGCGCAATGGATTTTTTAGATAAAACACAGAGTACGCGCTATTGGCCTACTCTTTATTCCTAAAATTCATCTGCGCTAAAGAATATCTTTGTTAGGACGATAATAGTAAAGCCTTCAGGACGTAGATTTTGTTAAAATGTCCTCTTAGATGGATAGCCTAACACGATTAAACGAATTTCATCTTCCCGAATTTACAATTAAAATTGTCCTTCTCCTAAAATGATTCCCGAGAGGTTAGTGAGCACATCTTCCCCGTGAATACACTTTATTTGATCCTTCAGCCTGAATCTCTTTAGCATAGGAGATCCTATCGAAGGTACATGCTATCGGGAGCTCGTAATCTCAAATGGGTGCACAAACTTCTCCCGCGCAGCGAAAGTGTTAAGATATAAAAGTTACATTACCAATACTGTATTTATCATAGTTCTCGAGTGAAATGTCGAATTATTTTCTCGAAATTATTCCTCACACAATCGATAAATGTTCGAACAAATTTTTTTTTGTTTCTCCTTAAATAATTTAAACGACTGAAAAAATTTGAGAAATGAAGAAAAAATTTTTGCATCACCAACTTCTTTAATTGTAATTTTTTTACTATAATATTTAAATATTTTCCTGATCACGGTAGCGACTACCATATCGTCCCATAATTATCGTAACAGTTACCATACCATTTGTAATTATGTATTTTTTCCAAAACGATTTGTAAAGATCTCAGTTGTTGATCTTAATTATGGTTTTGTTTTTCCGGCCACTGACCTCAACTATGCTTGTTTTTCTAGCCATCGATATTAATTACTTATTTTTGACAAAACAACTATTTAATCATGGTAGCTTTAGGCTAGGAAATCATTCCTAGGCTTGTTTTCCTGATTAATTTTTTGTTTTTGAAGAAATGTGTTAGTAACGTCATTCTTTTGGAATAATTCATTTATATTTAATACTTCACGAAATCCAATAAATGAATAAACGATTAAATTCGTGTTTTCTTTTTCTTTTAGATTTTTATTTACTTATTTGAGTGATATTCTAATTGTAAATATATCATATTTATTCCATTATTAATATCTTTAGAATACAATAAGCATATATCTCAGCTTTTGTCAAATCATTTTATATCAAAAAAAATAAAATTTGAATTCATTTATTTCGACGGCGAGTTTGTTGTTTCATTAAATCTTTTATTTTATTTCTTTTTCTTTTTTCTTTTTTTTTTTTATTTTTTGTGTGTGTTTTTCACTTTCTATTTTGTATGGGTATTTGAGTATATTAACTTTAAAAAATTTCATTTATTACTAACTATCAATTTAATTACTAATTAATTATTCATTTTAGGGTATGATTTGGTCATTCATACGTTAACAACTTTTTTATATTTACTAATTGTAATTGTTATTGCTCATTGATTGTTTTGCAATAAAATTGAATACATATTGGAATTTGCATCCATCATTTTACACACGGATTTCTTTCTATCATTCCCAAAATTATTTATGTTATCGTAAATTTTACTCTATCTTCTTGGACAAAATGGCGGTTAGTAATTAATTAGTTGATTAATAATAACAAGCAACAGCAAAAATCATAATATTAATAATAATTAATGATATTATAATTGGAATTGAATTAAAATAAATATTTCAATTTTTAGACTAATTATTTTACCAATTTCAACATTTGGTGTTATTATTTATTGTTCTCTGATG